GGAATTGGATAGAGTGCGAGGCCCGGGTTTGGTGGGGCTTCGGAATCTCGGGAATAGCTGTTATATTAATAGCTTCTTGCAGCTGATATTTAGTGGTAGGAGTAGTTGAGGGGGAAATTGTGGGAGGAGTGGTATGGTATTGTTGTTGTCAGGCAGTGTGGAGGCTTTGAAGAGGAGGTATGTGGATGAGAATGGTGTGTTGAGGAGGAGTATGGCTCAGAAGGGAGCGGTAGTGATATGCTGCACTTGATCATGACTTGTATGATAATATGGTGCTCAGTTGGATAATGAAGGGAGCCCACAGAGAACTGTGTTGGAAGTGGCTAAGCTGACCAACGCCCTCAATGGGACGAGGTACTGTCCTCCGATACCACAGGGAGAGGAGGAAAGGAAGTTGGACCCTTTTAATGGTATCATGAACGATTATACAGGGGTGAAATATTCCGATGGGTGTACTGTTAGGTATGTTGGCACCAGTTAGTCTACGGAAGCACTTTGGCAAGGGTCATCCCGACTTCTCGACCTCATCACAGCAGGATGCAGCGGAGTAAGGGTTGAGAAGTAGGTAAGGTGTGGTATTGAATTTACGTGTAGATATCTGCTTTATTTCCTGGACAAGTTGGATCGAGCGGAACAAGCTTCAACAAGCTCGGCATCCTTCCATGATGGCTTGACTCTGAGTAGTGATGAATTTGGTTATGTTATAGAGGACCGGTTAGAGTGTACTAAATCTGGGACTGTGAGGTAGGTCTTCTCGGTCTTCGCTGAGTATTGTAGGGTATTCATATTAAGGTACTCAAGACGGCGGGAGAATCTATTCCCCTTGGTAGTGAGCATGGATGATGCTGTTGGTGACCATGGATCGGGGACCAATGAGGGTAGGGGTAGATGGTGGTGCCTATAGTAGTAGGGCTGGCTGGGCTTAGGGGAGGCTAAGAGGCTGAAGACTGATGATGATAAAGAGGAGGAGGAAGGGTCGTCGCCGCCTCCAGTGGTGCCCTTTGAGGCCTGTTTGAAGAGGACCATGGCCCCTGCTAATGTGGAGGGTTTCCGCAGCCCGGCTTTGGTAGTAGCTGGGTTATGGTGTAGTAGTGATGGTTAGTATGGTAGGGAGGAGAGTTGGTCACAGCAGTGAAGAACTTCACTTTCGTCACGATGCCGCAGTACTTGGTGGTACAAGTGTCGAGGTATGATGTGAGAAGTGGCGGAGGTGTGGTATGGAATTGCAGATATTATGTGGATCCATCATGGCAGTTGGCTAAGCTCAACTGTTCGGTACCTATGCCGATGGAGTTGAACATGGAGCGGTATCATAATAAGAGCCCAGGCATGCAACCAGGCGAGAAGCCCATGCCCGATTCGAACCCGGGCCCGACAGCTACTACTACTAATACGGTGGTAGAGGCTGATGAGGAGATAGTGGTAATGCTGATGTCCATGGGATTTGATATGGACCAGTCTAAGAGGGCATGCTTAAAGGTTGGCAATAGGTAGGAGGGAGAGGGAGAGTTCTCTACTATGGTGTGGACCAAATCGGTTTTTGCTATACCCATCAGCTGATAGTAGCTGATCGGCATGAAAATAATGTGTATTCATTGACAGCGTGTTGGATGGGTTTTATGGTAAGAGTACAATATCGATAGTATGAGGAGGTTGTCAGTTCCGCCGACGCTGCCGCCTCATGGTTGATGGAGCATATGGATGATCCACCTACTCCTACTAATGCTGAGGGAGAGGCCACTACTATAGAGGACAATGCAGATGCTGTGGTTATGCTTACCTCGATGGGCTTCAGTGATAGGCAGGCTAAGGCGGCTCTTAAGGCTACTAGTAACAATGTGGAAAGAGGTACTAGTAGTGGTAGTGGTAGTGTATGGTATAGTCTTGAATGCTTTCAGCTGCTGACTGGTTATTCTCTCGTACTGATGACCTTGATGCTGCAGTTGAGGGAGTTGGAGAGGAGGCAAGTGAGAATATGAAGGGGTAGGTCGAATAGTGTGTGGGATGGTAGGGAATACTCTGTATGGTAGTAGGCCTTCAACAGAGGAGAGGTTAATGGCTAAGGACGGTATTGGAGAATATGACCTTGTTGGGTTCATCAGCCATGTTGGGAGGAACGTATCCCATGGTCATTATGTGTGCCATATGCTGAAGGACATGGGACCAGGGGAGGCAAAGAAATGGGTAATCTTTAACGATGAGAAGGTGGCAGTGAGTGCGGATCCACCCTTTGATCTTGGTTACATCTACCTCTATAAGCGACGACGCCAGCTCTCGTCAGCCAATTGAGTGCTCTTTTCTTCTTATGTGAAGTTTGTTGTCATTTTTGTCTCCGAGGGGGGAGGGGTGAGTGGGTTTGAGTAGTTGTATTTTTCATGGTCATGCCAAGGGTCAGTAGCTCCGGTCCTGGCAGGGGATGAGCTTGTCAGAGTACGGCAATACTATGGAGGAGTTGAGAAGGGGAGGTAATACGCGCATGCAATGGGGAGTGGGCCCTAGCACGCTTTGGGTGGGTTGGAATCTATTTCCATGGAATGATCGTTTTTAGAAGGGTTTATATTGTGTTCTACTATGGGTAGTATTGCTTCCCTACTTGCAGTGTTGAGGTGATGAGGTTCTAATCGTACATTCCTCTGGCAGAGGCGTTGAAGGACTTGAAGAAGGAGTCGGTGTCAGCAGAGTGACAGAGGAGGAGCGGAATGCTGAGATAGATCAAGCCATGGACTATGCGCACATTGAGGTGTGATGCAGTGCTGGTGTTTCGGTGGACTTCATCTACGGTATGCTATTGTGGATGAAGTTACTGACTTTATCACCTACTTTCGTAGGGACCTGAAACATGCTAGCCAAGCCTTCTCTAGCCTATAGCCACTCCTTAACAGAAATATGTAACAGAGAGTCGTGGTATTTACTGCGAGCTCTGTTAGAGGGTTGGTGTGGATATGGTTCAGGTGAATCGGGCGTCGATTTTGCCCCGTCGGCCCAACTGGGATCTGAGACGAATGTATGCTGAGCGAACGAGTAGGTCTCGGGATCGATCCCCGGCTCGGACGTTTTTCTCATTAATTTCGGGACACATCCTTGTGTCGTTCATACCATTCATATTGGCAGTGTGGGAAAACATACACAGGTCGGAGGACTGATGTTAGTAACAATTCGGAAATTCTGAGAAAATCTTGGGAGTCTCTTATCGGGTTTTGTGAACTTCTTCTACCCGAATTCGTATGTAAACTCGTATAACTAGTGAGGAAACTCCCGAGCTCAGCTGAGGAAAGCAAACATTTATTACAACACTGTTATCAGGCCATTTGAGTAAGCAAACTGAAGGGTTGCTGCTGCGGTTACTGCAGCAGGAGATCCGGAAGGCTGAAGGGCAGCAGGAGGATGGGACTGTTGAAGGAGGTATTCGTATGCACCACGACATGGGTTGCATCGTTCGTCTCTGTACAGCCAACACTCCTACTGGTGGGGAATCGGAGGTGACTGAAGAGGATAAGGAGTTCAGATTGGTGTGGTATGATAAGTGGCATTAGGTTGAGCTCGGTCTAGGCACATGGCACGAACCTTCCATGGCAAGTCGGATACGACTGCTGAAGGAGAGCTGGGAGAAGAAGCAATGGCTTTGGGGAAAACGTAAACTATTCGTATATAGCAGTTTCCAAGAGAAGTGTTGTTGTTGGTGGTGGTGTGGTATGAAAAAGATATTACTCTTAGTGAGTGTTGTTTACTGTCAACTGTACTATGAAGATTGAGGAGGTTCAGTCGACCGTCCACTCTACCCGTATTGCTAGTCACTCCCATATCAAGGGGCTTGGGCTTAAGCCGGATGGGACGGCAGAGCCCATTGCTAGTGGGTACGCCATAGTGGGATCGTTATGTTGATATGAAGCGGGTTAGGTTGGTGGGGCAAGAGAAGGCTAGGGAGGCGGCTGGTGTAGTGGTGGACTTGATTAAGAGTAGGAAGATGGCTGGTAGGGCACTTCTAATGGCAGGAGCACCTGGTAATATGATAGGATTAGAGGAGAGTTGAGGGAGGAGTGGTAGGTACTGGGAAGACAGCTATTGCGTTGGCTATTGCTCATGAGTTGGGGCCTAAGGTGCCCTTCTGCCCTATGGTGGGTAGTGAGGTCTACAGCTCTGAAGTGAAGAAGACGGAGATACTCATGGAGAACTGTAGGAAGGCTATTGGCATAAGGATTAAGGAGACTAAGGAGGTGTATGAGGGAGAGGTTACTGAGCTCACTCCTGAGGAAAAACCGGACCCATTAGGGGGCTATGGCAAGGTCGTATCTTCCGTAAGTTCGGGTATTACTATCATCATCATAACGTTGGAGGGATGGTTGGTGCGTGTTCAGGTGCAGTTGGGCTTGAAGACCAATAAGGGTTCGAAGACCCTCAAGTTGGCGCCTTCTATACATGAACAGCTCACGAAAGAAAAGGTGGGCAAATGACATGGTATCGGCAAAGTTTGAGATTATTATTAGGTAACTGTTGGGGATGTTATTTATATAGAAGCTAACTCTGGAGCAGTGAAACGAGTGGGAAGGAGCGACCGATATGCTACTGAATTCGACTTGGAGGCTGAGGAGTAGTATTTTACATTCCATCTGATACACCAGCAAATAGCTCAATTAATTTCCGATAGGTACATAGTTTGCTTTAATTAGTATCGAGTTTGCATTTTCTAACACTCTTGTCGAAATTCATACATCTTCATCTGATATACCAATATTAGGCTCTATTTATTTCTAATTTTTTTGGTGCCAATATTGCACCGAAATTTCACTGGATTTACTCTGGACGTTTTTTGATCAGACCTTTGCTTCGATGTGGTGGTCAGGTACGTGCCTGTCCCCAAGGGAGATGTCCATAAGAAGAAGGAGGTGGTCCAGGATGTTACCTTGCATGACTTGGATATGGCTAATGCGAGGCCGCAGGGGGGCAACGACATCGCCTCTGTGATGGGACAGTTCTTCCGTCAAAGGAAAACTGAAGTCACTGATAAGCTCAGAGCTGAGATAAATAAGGTAGTGCGGCGTATCTAGTAGGGTAGGGAGGCTACGAAGGGTTCAGGTGGTGAATAGATATATTGATCAAGGAATTGCTGAACTAGTTCCTGGTGTGCTCTTCGTTGACGAGGTGCACATGTTGGATATTGAATGCTTTACGTAGTACCACACCGTCGTCACTTCTCCTCTACATGTACCCATTTGCAGGTATCTAAACCGTGTTCTGGAGTCCCCCCTCTCCCCTATCATCGTATTTGCGACGAATAGAGGTGTATGTACTATAAGGTAATAGTAGTAGCTGTCCATGAGTCCAGCTTTTAGTATGTTTCCTCAGGGGTACGGAGATTGTCTCTCCACATGGTATGCCTGTGGACCTACTAGACCGGCTTGTTATCATTCGTACCCTCCCCTACTCAGTCGATGAGATCATCCAGATAGTCGCTATCAGAGCCCAGACGGAAGCCTTATTGTGGGGGAGGAAGCTATGGAGCTTCTTGGGAAGGTTGGCCATGTTACCAGTCTGAGTGAGATCCAATACACAGCTGTA